AGCCACTCAAAAGAGCCCACAGTTCCATCTCTGAGTGAGACTGTCACCAGAATGTTCTCTTTATAAGAAGCCAAACACTCCATCAAAGATGCAATGACAGAAGCGTGAGCATCTGTAACTCCAGGTTCAGTGAGAAGGGAAATCAATCCAGTCACCAAAAGGAAGCTTTTAATTGTGTCCCTCACCCTGCACAGAAATGAGTGCTTAAAATGTGATAGTAGAGCATATCTCATTTTAGACATGAACCTGGAATCCTACCTATTTCCCTGGCAGAATAGTTTTAACCATTGTTAGTGTATAACCACCACCAACAAGGGAAGACCTTCACCCCCAGATTTGTAGAGAAAATCCTATTTGCAGAATCCTTCCATTTGATTCAGCTGCTCACATTGTCAAATGCCAGAGGCAAGTAGAATCTTCTTATTTATTTCTCACAAAAGCTCTGCAAGGCAGGCCGGAGGGTTTGCTATTTCATGTTAACAAGGTGAGGGAGATTTCCACATAGATACCAAACCACAGGTTACCAGGCATCATTAATAGAAGAAACGGAGAGGAGTTGGGTGGTGCCAGGGGTGTGTGGGGAGGTGGACTTCATCTTGTCACACAACTTGTTGAAGAATTTTTTAAAAACACAGTTTGGAAATGACTTGTTTTCTACAACGAATAATTACTAAGATTGGGCTATATATGCTAACAGTTATATATTTCATATATATATATTTGTATGTAATTTAATTTATAGCAACACAACTTAATGACCAGGTGCTTCATTTCTCATTAGAATTGTCAGTGCATCACATCTGGGGCAGGGAGGCTTTAAGTTATTTTAAAACACAGTGTCATTTTCCCAATCCATGTCTTCAATGTATTTCCTCATACTCTAAGATCATAAAGAAAAGAGTGTGTAGTCTTCTCCTGCTGCTGTTAGTTGGCATAGGCAATCCAGAGGCTTAAAGATCTAGTGCTTTGCTTAGTATTGTCATTATAGGTCCTTGTTCACTGTGGGTGAATCAGTGAAAAGATTTAATTTTCATTGGTGAGGGAAATTTTGCACAAATTCTGGAAATTCTACTATTTGGATGTTGGAATGGGCACTGTGCTGCACCAATCAACATTTTTCCATGCAAATTCCTGAGAGATTTGCCACCAGAAGCAGGCATTCCCCATGTATGTCTTTCTGAGAAGAGCTCAAATATTTCAAAGGCAAAATGTGCTTCCTTCTAGGACCATGGCTTTTCAGCCTTTGCTAGAAGTACAATATTCACAGCCACCGTCTTACCCAGAGCTCCGATATTAGAAGCATGCTCCAGCAGAGTTGCCCACAAAAAGCAGTAGAGGTTTGAGGAAACCTAGGCTTCCTCCTGACTCCACCTTTTAACATCTATGAGACTCACTCTTAGTCCTCATACTCTGTTCTGCAGACTAGATCTCTTTCTCTAGCCTATTGGCAGAACAAGCCAAATCATACACAACTGCCCACATTCTCTGAGACACCTTATCTGTATATTATGGATCACGGGCAAAGGAATGAAGAATGTATTTTAACTCACAGATCCCAGCTTTCAAAGGTTTATGTGGTAGGCATAGAGAGATAGACACAGGTGGGGGTTTTATTGTTTCTTTTGATGCAGCTAACAGTATATTCTTTACCAGAGCTGGAAGAAATCTACATAATACCCCCATTAGGAGAAGAGTACACAAAAGTGTTTGGGTTCCATTGGCTTTTCAAGGTAGAAAGGAGCAAACAATCCCCCCATTCTTTTCAAAATTACAGCATTTGGATTTTGGCAAAATCCTCACTTGGTATATTGGTACACCCTCATTTACTACCAGGAATTCCCCTAGGATGCGCCAACCTGGGGGCAGAGCTGAGACACTTTATAATGGGATGTCAAACATACCGAGAGGCACCCCAATTTCTCAGGTGCTGCTTTAATTCTCAAGTTGCTGCAGGGCTGCCCCAGCCACTGCTAATTTCTCTGGGGATTTGGTGTCACTACCTACAGAAGTCACACATTGCACTTCTGCTGAAGAAATTGCTTCACAGTTGCCATAGATGCTGCTGTGATGACTTGTTGATGTTGATTTTCTATGCAGTCTCTCTATTTCTAGAATGGCTAAAGATATTCTCATTACACAAAGGTTTCATCTATTTCCTTTCTCTCCTCATTCATCTATTCCTGAGGAAAGGGCTTTTTGTATCCTCTCTTATCCAAATACTGTTGAGCATATTTGTGGATAGACAATAGATTGTCAGTAAATATCTATTCTTCTAAAGGGCTCACTTTGGGGGACAAAAACACAGACTTTGGAATGAAAGAGCCTTCAATTTGGATCCATGCTTTCTTATAGGTGATATGATTTAGGGTAAATTTCTTCAATCCTCTGAACTTCTTTTCCCTTTAAAGTTGGAAAACAATACCTACTTCACTAAATGATGTTTGTAGGAGAAAATGGCACGTGATTAGCATGGCAGACATTAAGGGCTTATAAAGGTAAAGTACCTCTCTTTTCCCTCTGAAGAATGAAGTGCTGTAGTACTTGCAGTGGGGTGAGGCTGGCTTTGCTCCTCAAGTCCCCAGGATCGAGTGGTTCTGGTCATTGCACAGGGGCTGCTGGAAGGACACTCCAAGGAGCAGAGTGGAGGTTCATGGGCCTTGGTCCACCATGCTTGTCTACTGACTACTGGGCTATACCTGGGCACTTCTCAAGGTGTTTCCATCAATACCAAGCAAAGGAAACAAACAGGTTAGGGGAAGTCTCAGTGTCAGAATGGGAGAAAGCTACTGTTAAGATATAAAACCGACCAACTGTAGAAGGTATGTTAACAAAATTGATATTGAAGTATGTTATTCCCCTAGTCCACATCATTCATTCTTCCATCTTCTGGAATCATACTCCTAAATTCCTTTGGGAAAACACTTCTCTTCATTTTTTGGCTATGTAATTTGTGGAGGAATGGCTATATCCATATCTCCAGGGCAGAACCCTGAGTGGCTAAAGCCAATCACAATATCCAGTCTTCTGGCTGCAGTAATTGCTTTGGACATATGACTCAATGAGAGGCAATAAAATGTTTTCTGGGGAATAAGAGAAAAAGAATTGACTTTCTGTGGCACTACTACAAAAGAGTCTCTCTTCTTTATGGAATAGGGAATAGTAAGCTATAAGACCTGAACTACTACCATAAGAGGAATGCCTAGATAAGTTGTATCACCAGATAAAATATGAGAATTAAGAAAGAGAGTGAAGAGATTAGGAGTAGTGGTAAAGAGAGAAGGTTCTTAGTCAAAGTGTTTGAAGTGCTTGGCTAAACCTTAACTAAAGCCTGTATGTAAACATCTATAGTTTTCAGATATGTGAACCAATCAGTTAGATAGTTTCCCTGATATTATTACTAATTATTATTGCTAATTAATGTTTGCTGAACCGAGCCTTAATTTCCTCACCTGATAAAAGAAATTTAATAAAAAGTCTCCTTTATACTTCAGGTGATAATGAAAGAATACATTTAAACCACTGTGCTCAAGTGGCATTTTTTACATAAAAATAATTAGGAGGTCATGCAGAAGGGCCACCTAGAAATCAGGGGCATTTTTGCCCTTCACTGAACATGTGACAATGTCTGGAGACACTTTTGG